GAGAGCAAGTGCGATCATAGGCCCATCGTTCGTTCCTGCCATGGCTCGTGGATTGCTTTCCTATACAGTATAGGAAGTACAGTAACTGTACTTCCCATTCTGTACTGTACATAGCTGTAGTCCCCATATTGTACAGTGTGGTAACTGTACTTCCCACTGTGTACAGTACAGCAACTGTACTCCTCATACTTTGCAGTACAGCAACTGTGCTCCTCATGATGGCAGTCCTTTTGTGCACAGCTTCTGGACAAACTGGGGAAGGACACTGATGGGACGAGCGCGAAGAAAACAGAAGAAACGAAAGAGAGAATCCGAAACCTCGTCGACTCAACACTGCAGCTGGCAGAGGAGGTGTGTGTGCATCGATTGTTGGCATCCTTCCAATTGAGCTTCAGCTTGATGGGGCAGAATAATTTCATAGTCCACAATCTGAGGGGCGTTGGTTGAATCCCCCTGTCGTTGCACACCCTTTTTGGTCTTTTGGACTGGAAGAAAATGGGACTTCTTTTGAGGTTGATCAAATGCGCATGCTGTCGTGGATTGGTCTCAGATACTTGCTCTCCATTTTCAACAGGTCATTACCAGGGAGAGCAATTCCAGCATAACCCCAGAGAAATACGAAGAAGCCATCATGGACATAAAATGGGCTTTCCAAAACGTGACGGTGAGCAGCGCGACATGCAACATGCCATTTTGCATGGTGCTTGGTTGATTCCTGTATCTGATACATTTGTTTCACATGGACAATTGTGCTCATGGTGTCAGCTGCTTGTGCAATTGGTGCAGCGGATGCATTCTCTATAGTCTGCAAGGCCTCGTTCTTCGGAATACCACCACAATGGTTATAATTTCCTTGCAGCACATCATATCCACATCTAGAGAGACGAATGGCAGCTGAGACCCGATTTAGTGGAAGCTTGTGTGCTGAGTCAGAACACTCAATCTTATCTGCTGATCATGACATGTCAAGATCAGCTGTACAGCTTACATCCACCACTCCACACCATTTGCGCTCGTTCTCCCTTCACCTTGCGCTATGGTTATTAGGCCGCAAACGGAATGACTCCATAATCCAAGCAGCCGACCGCCTTCCAGGAAACAGGCTCCAACCTTTTGCATACCGTGGTTATGTTACACCCTTCCACATTTTGAAATTTCAGCGTTACAAGTTTTGCTCCGCATGTTTTCGAAGGTCCGCTGTTTTGGGGTGCTGCACATCATAGCAACGGCCAAATGGCGACTGCGCCTACATCACATGGCCTCAAATGCTGGTCTTCCGCCATGGCGGCTCATGCATCCAGGAACGCTCGGCCCACGAGCACTCCGGAGACCCTCGCGTCGCAGCTGGTGCTGCTCCACATTTTCTTGCCATCGTTGCGTCTTTATTATTGCTCCCCATAAAAATTCCAAACGTTATGGGAGGGTGTAATACATCAATGTAGATGGCGCTTTGGCAGAGAAGAAAAAGAAACAAGAAAAGAAGAACATGGCGAGTCTGCCATCGCTTGTGTGCCTCTGGATGGTGCTCCAACGGCAAGTCCGGCAAGGGCAACTCAGCGGATGGTTTTACACATTTCCGTGCTTTGTTGTGTCAACAGAACCTCATGATGACGGCTCAAGCAATGACAAAGAGACATGGCCCTGAGCAGCTGTCTACGCCAGAATCCACTCCAGGAGCCAATGATCTTGAAAAGGCCATCAGCGACATGAAAATCACAAAGGTGCGCAGGCAGCGTGGCGATGGTGGTGGCTATGCTCCCCAATCCGGGGATTGATGCATTTAGGGGTATGGACGAAGGCAGGCAGTGTCGAGGGGCGGCGAGCCCAGAACGAGGACCGTAGGCTCGAGTCCAAGGCAACGTTTTACAGCCGAGCAAAGGGACAACAGGAGATCTGTCCCTTATATCCAGGCCGTTCATCAATGTCCCCAATGCAATTCCTTATGCTTCGTCATTTGTTATGTGTCCAGCTGTTAACAATACTCAATCAGTTCTGGTTACAGCCGTATGATGTTCGCGATAATTTTTTTGGATGCCTGTTGGAAGCATCTGCGAGTGGTTTATTTTGCACTACTGGATGTACAAAGAAAAGTTACTCTGTACGACAATGGGACTGTAATCCTGTGCAGCGGTCTTTCAGATTTGCAGAGAATGGATGCTATCAACATCGCTGTGTTGATTGGCTCAATTGCCGCTGCCAATCCTTTGGGGAGCACTGGCCAGTGCTTATTCGAAGGCAATTACCACCCCAATGCCCCCAGCACTGCGTTGGGCCTGCTGCTGGCTCTGAATGGCGATGTGTGCTGGGTCTCGACAAACAAACCACTCAGTAGCGCCTCTGGCGGTCACCATTCACTAGGGAAAAACAGGCCACAATGCACGGTTTTGAAAACTGTCCACCGCGTAAACCATGTCAAATCGTGTAAAAATCCATGTACTTATCATGTATTGATCGCACAAAAATGGGACCAGACCTTTTAGTGACGATTGAATGAGTGTACATGGTTTTGCGCGATTTTCGCACGGTTTGAAACCGTGTATCTTGGCCGAGTTTTAACTTGTCATTTGGCGTGAAATCCCCATTTGGAAGAGTCCTTGTCCGTGGCATAAACCGCGTTTAACTTGATTTAAGCAGAATACCAGCATACAGAAGGCTCAGTTGCGCGCGTCCCCAATGCGCTGATCGATGTTGCCTTCCCAACGAGGGCTCCCGCCGGGCCACACAGCTACTCCAGAACCTCGCGGCCCCCCTATGTTGTGACGGCGGCGTGGGGAAAAGTCGCCACGGTACAGGGCAAAACGCATAGATTATCGAAAGTCATAGTTTCAGTGCAGCGTTTTGGCTCGTTAGGCACCAGTGCGTGTCGCACTCTCGCATGCAGCCGCAACGTGCAACATGGCGACAGAGCAGCAGTGCCCAGCAATTGTGACAGGAAGTGGGGCGTGTGTGCATGTGCTCACGTGAATACAACGCTGATGTGCCTTGGATCGCTGGCGGAAAAACGGCCGCCTCGGGCGATCCTATTCTGCATTTGAATGATGTGTTTCAGTTTCAGAATTTCGCAGCCGAAAGCCATTTCTGAAGATTGCGTCTACGCGATGTAAATTGCGTTGAACGCGTGGCGGCTCTTGCTCCACAGCAGCGTTTTGGCGCCACCCTTGATGTCGGCTTGTGCACCGCAGGAGGCTCTGTCCCGGTTGAAAGAGGACAATTACGAGTCAATGAAGCTGCCACACATGCAGACGGTGAAGGAAGGCTGGCGCAAGCGCTGGGCGATGGCCCTGGTGTCCAAGATCAACAGCGCGGTGCTGGACGAGAAGTCCTACCTGGGCAAAGTCCCCATGTGGTGCCACAACGAGCTGGAGATGCAGAAGGGCTTCAGGGCTTGCGGCATGGTGATGATGTGGATACTGGCGGCCTCCGCTTACACCACGTTCTCTCAGGCCTTCCTACTGGCCGCCAGGAAGCAGTCTGGCAGCCCCATAGAGGCCATGATGAACATGGGTCGGTGACATCGGGGGCTGGAGCGGCTGCTCGGTGGGAGGTTGTGTTGCCCGGGCGATGTTCTTGGAGCGCGGTTGACGAGAATGGGGAGCTCCACGCATAAGATACTCTTCGACTGGTCGATACCCATAAGTATCGATGCGGTATAATTATGCACATGCAGGCCTAATTATGCGGTTTTTGATGGCCTTGTTTCGCATTGTTGATATGTTGCGCACGAGGATCCGCGCGTAGTTCAGTACACGGGAGTGAAGCAGTACATTGGAATAAGTTCTCTGGATGCCTGCATGCTTGGGATCCGGTCTCTTGCCATCTTGCGCAACTTTCACACGATACGTTAACGACTCGTTCTCGATTTGTGATCCGAGACCTAGTTCCTATTGTTGGAACAGCTACGCTCCAGTGTGGATCTCACCTATCGACCCACAAGCATGAATCGTACCGACGACACAGCCGTTCAAGGCACAACCACACAGCACAAAACACAAGGGGGTGCTGCTCGTCTACCCGGCGCTTTGTCGTGCACCACCTTTGCGAAGGAGGAATTTTTTAGTAAGAACTTTCTATTAAATGTTTATTTGGTAAAGAACTGTTTGTTGAATAGTGCTGGTAATACAAGCAATATCTAATAGGCAAGCTTACCAGCTTCTTGAGGGAATTCGCTGCCGCCCTCGGGAGTCGTTCGTAGGTCGAGGGCAGGCGCCCGTCAGTAATGTTGCCGCAACACAGGCCTGCTTCCCATGAGGTTTGGGAGGCTGGAGAATCTGCGATCGTTAGACTACAACAGCGTTTGCAGTCAAAAATGACAATAATGCTCCAGGTAGGTGGATCTGTTTGATGTACTGTGAGGCAATGGACATGCCGAAAATGTACTATTAGTCAGAGGGCGAAAACCCCTACTATGCCCTTGCTAAAGATGCCAGATCTGCGTCCCAACAACAATGCGTGTATCCCAGCTGGAAACTAAGGGGGGGCACCTATGGCGAAGTGTCCCAATTCTTGCCGACAGCAGTCCGCTAAAGTCCCGACTTGCCAATTTTACGGCAACTTCAGGTTCCTGATTTGTTGTCAATCACGTGCCAATAGTTGAGTTGGTTTCCTAATACCAATCGTGGGTGTGTACTTTGGGTTTCTGTCCTAGCGCACTTTAGGTCAGTTAAAATCCCATTCAAAGCTCTTTTAGGGCTTCAAGTGTGGCCATTGGAAGTTTGGCGCACTTGGTAATGGCTGTCATCAAATTTTTGGGGGTGAGGGGGGAAAGGCCGGGCTTTGATCTCCTTTCGCTCCTACCCTGCCCCAAACCTTGAGAGCGAAGTTCGATTTACGTGTAAGTCCACGTATAGCATAAATTCCCACACAGTCTGAGTCGTGATCTTGTACGGGCGTGACTACTCGCGCAAGGCCCACCGCTGACCTCCAAACCCAGCTTTCCAGGGTTGTCGGCCACACCATGAGTAAGGATCGCATGTTGTCGGCGCCCTCCCCCTCAACAACCCATCAACCGAGCGCTCATCCCCTTTCCAAGTGCGCTGGCATCACTGTTTTCGGAGAGTATGTTAATCCCTCTGTCTTCCGTGAGGATCCCTACTTCTTCCGCTGACAAGGCAAACGCCTGTCAGTGGGTCAGTTTTTAGTGGTTTATGCTTTAGGATGTCCAAAACAAGAAGGAATTCCCACAGAAAAGACGCAGCGACGTTGAACATACCATTAAACATACCAGTCACTTAACCCTGATACATCAGGATGGGCTCGTGACTAACCCAGGATAATTTGCTTGGCCCCATAAAGGAGTGGTCTGGTAGAAAAAAGATGGAAAAGAACACTAAGCGTAATGGCGGGCAATGATGGTGTCTCAACACAACCCCAATGGAAAGGATCTGATAAGACATCAGAAAGCTGTCAAGTACAGCGCATGGGTTGTCATGGCGCTGGCACATAGGGTCATGCGGACATGATTAGTGAGGAATACAAAAATGGCCCGCTGCCGAAGCTCTCTGAGACCGTATTGAACAACGTCATATGTGCCTGAAGGGAACTGTCTACTAGCACTGCAGATGCTTGGAACTGAGCGGAAAGGCGTTGTGAGGCCTCTGATGGAAGATAGTGTGAGGGCCTATGGGTGATGACCGAGGAAGCACTGAGGTTCGTGCCTGGAATTTTCTGAGCGTTCGGCGGAGTTGAATGATTGCTAATGTGCACAAAAGGGTTTTTTTTGAACGGCGTTGTACTAGGGAGACAGTTGGGACGTATGGACAGGAGCTCAGTGCGTATGGTACTGATGAGGGGAACGGTGGCAATCTCGAGGGCGTTGAGCATACAGAACTTGCGTAAATTGCAGGTACACTTGCCCTGATGAAAACACAGGATGAACACTGAAAATACATAGGTCCTATGAAGAGGGATCACTGTGTCTATGCAAGGCTCAAAAGGGCTGAAGAAGATCTGCTCGAGCTGTAAAATGTGCACCGGAGAAAGGAGTCACCAAAGCTGCGACAAGACCTGCAAACATGCATAACACTAGAAAAAAGAGGACCAAGTAACACTTTTTGCGAACACATAAATATGCATTTCATCAGTGTTCTGCGTGCTAAAAGCACGAAAGTAACCCGAACCCGTAACTTTTGTGCACATCTGAGCACGTTTTATTTGGCCCTTTTTCTCCTAGTATAAGCGTTTGATATAACGGACTATTAAGAAAGATGACCTGATAAACATTAAAAAAGTGGAACGTTGGCCAGACGATCATGGCCAAGAACGGGTAATCAGCGTGGCAATGTATCGAACTTTGATATACCCGCTCGATGACGAAGTAAGTATCTAGCGTTAATATGGAAGGTCTCAAATAATTTCCTGCCCTCGGAAAGGGGACTGTTTATGCCCCCGGTCAAGATGTCAGATGCGCTTCCATTTTCTAGGGTGAGGCCTTACATGTGAAATTCAGTCAGCAGAATCACGAACATGAACAATGTATGTGGTAATGTAGCAACAATAAATAGTGTGGGAATGGGCAGGACATGCTATGACTCTACAGCAGTGAAAAGGCTCATCTGCTATATGGAAAATGGCGAGAAACATCATCGCATATGAGGGGACCGTGGTCGAGAACATTAGCTGTAAAACTTCAAATGAATGAACTATGATTCCTACCAGAATATTCCCATTGTTATGAAGAAAGTCGATCATTAAACTGTGGGTCTTGGCTGTGAGTGATGTCTTAGTCATGATATGAAAATAGATGCCCTGTACATGGAACGTTCAGCTGCTTATGCATGAAAAGCAATTTTAGGGTGACCATGTCCCTTGCAGGCCAGCTTACGTGGGAATCACGCACCTGCAACGATTGGGCGTGCATCGCTGGTCTGTCAACTTCAATGACGCTGTTTGATCATGTTGGGTGCCGTCGTGGACAATTGCTTGTCCCTGTTGCAGGAGTTCCCGTCATTGGTGGTTTTGAACATGATTTCTTTAAATGTTACAAGAATGGGGAAGGCGTTACTTGTCCTGGAACAGACAGAATACAGTATCAGTACCTGGACTGAATACGAAAATAGTAATGAGCGGGGCCGCAGAACGAATGACAGGCCAGTAATGCATAGTCATTGAGCCCCGATGGCGGGACTGGACGTGTCACTGCATTATCATTACTTTATATTATTTTTACATTATTCGCTAGATAGCAATGGCAGGCTACCATGCACTAATGTGCATGGTATGACTGGCCATAGCAGTCAAAGTGGGTGTTTTTATCCCCATTGCTGTCAGCCCTAATACTGAAGAGTGTACGAGTATGATCCCGTACTTTGTGCTGCGCATCTAAGGCTGCCATGCCCATCATGGGTTATGACAACCATGAGGTACGACAACTTAGGGCGCTGAGTGGCGGGGCCTCTCAAAAACGCGCGCACAGCGGTGGCGACTTGCAGCAACGTGCCCGAACATGGGTGCGAGAGCATGGCTGCCTAGTCTCGAGGACGATGATGGCGATGGCGGAATTGAATGGGTTTGGCAGTACTGCTCGCACGGCCGCGATACGTCTCGCCATGCATGGATTTTGCATGTCCATGCAAAGCTGCGACGGCCCTAAGGGATGCCGGAATACATGGCTCGATGGCTGGCTGGCGCGGCACTGGATGTGAAGCGCTGCCCAGCGATAGGGGGCGCGAGCAAGGCGTTGGCGCCCATGGCGGAGGCATGGGGAAGCAGGTGAGTGCAGGCTCGGGCGAATTGCGGGCGACGGGACGCGTGTCGCGCACCCAATTGGACAGGAGGCCATAGAACCGAATCAATTGGGCGCTGATGCGATCATGGAGGTCGCGCGACGGTTGCCACAGTGACGTATTACGTGCATTCAGGCTTGGTTTTTACGCCGTAAAAACTGAGCGTATTTACGTTTTTATGCGTAAAAACAGTTTTTACGTTTTTACGCGTAAAACTGCGTAAAAATACGTAAATACAATGTAAAAACAGCCCGGTGTACATAAGGACAGTACATACAGACTTACGGAGTCCGGAGAGTGGCAGCCAGACGCCCTGGAAGGGGCAGAAGACGAGTTTTTGTTAAACACCATCATCGCCCTTGCCAAAAGCGAGGTGGACATTGTGTTGCGGGTGCTGGGGATGGCGGAAGGCAGATCTTTGTACGCAACTTTCATCGTGTAACCTGTGTCTCCCAGGAAGCGGTAAAAACGTAAAAATAGCCGTAAAAATAGGCCTTTTTGCAAATTTACGTTTTTACGCGTAAAAACGTAAAAGTAAAAAAGTAAACGTAAACGTAAAAACCAAGCCTGCGTGCATTGCTAATGCATGTGCGACAGGGTGTTCGGGCGCCCGGAAGGTTCGGGAAGGATCCATGCTAACGGAGAGGTGACATGACAGCTTAAGGATCACTTGAATAGTCAGGAAAGGACCCCGGAAAGTTCTGGAAGGGCGTGGAATAGGTGGCCGGTGTGTAAATAGAGAGAGGGCTGTTGTAATAGCGATCAGCACGCCACGGCAACCAGCGGTGGACTCGAAATGTGATTTTGTGAGGTTGGACCTGGATGCGACAGTGGTTGATTGCCATCGAATTCGTGTGCCCAAATAGGGTGCTGACCCTGAGTCGAGTGAGTGAAGAAGAAAATGCCGCCTACGATCATAACCTGTGCGACTGAGTGAAAGGTCGCGCACCCCTGGAAGGGATTTCTATGTGAATTCTGACCCGCCAGGGCGATCATTGCATTGCGTCGGGCGCGGTTGGGTGATGTCAATTCTGGTGAGCTGTGCTTGCACTTCTGGATTGGAGACCCAGGGCTGGGTTGTGTGGATCCATCAGAAGGTTGGGTCACGTGCCAAAGAACCCCATTGGTTTGGATGCGTCGCATGCATCCTTCACGTGAGAGAGCTCCTGAAATTGCAATCGAGAACGTATCTAGGAGTCCAGCCTCAGTTGCGCATCGCGGAACCACTCCCTGTGACTTTGGGCCCCACCCACCGCTGCCAACAGGCGTCGTAAGCCAAACAGGATTGAAAGGGGGAGCGCCGTTGTAGAGAAGCGTTACAACCACCAATAATACGAAGCATAACTTCACATCAAGCCCGGCAGTTGCGAGCACACTAGCAGGAAATCGTTCGATCGTTTAATGAGCGGAGCTCAAGCAGGGCTCAACCTAAAAATAGAGGAACTCGACATATAAAGACCCCTTGGTAAGCATGCCAAGACCATGTGCCCGTAAGCGCCGATCAAAGCAAACCCGGACACGAAATAGGGAGACCTCCCTGACCTGCCACAATATTCATCCGTTGACCAAAAAACATGTAGCGCAGCTTTGCAAGAGTGGGCAGGAAGACGCAGAAAAATAGAGAGTGTCTTACATGGCGCCTTGGGAAGTTAACTTGCGCAGCACGGAAATTAGTAAGTATCTCGTTGCCGAAGTAGCGTAAGGCCCCACCATACTGGACGTTACCGCGTAACTTGATGACATGTTGATCTCGCTTGGTAAAGTCCTGGGAACCACTCTAGAGACTGGGCCGGAGCATTTGTAAATGCCACTCAGTTCCACAGTTCTTGGAAGCTGTTAGTAAAGTGATACTGATAGTAACGTGTACAAATATCATTCTCCTGAACCAGAACTTCATAAGGAGAATAGCAAGGGAAGACAGTATGTCGATTTAGGTACGCTTAGCATCAAATTGCCGCTAGGGGGGCGGGGGGGGGGGGGGCGGTTCCGGCCCTGTGATGCTAAAAGATTATGTAATTAACACAAAATCGACATAAGGAAGCAAGGTGCCCATGAACGCCACTGATAAACGGCAAATAACCCCTGACATGTTCATTATCCTATTGCATGTGTTCGATTTTCAAAGAAGGCGTTAGAATGGATCAATTTGCCGCCATTGAGGCTGCCCACCTCACCTATAATGGCATTTAGAATCCCGTTTTTCACCCCAATGAAATCAGCACATCTTCATTGTCTTTCTCCTTAGAAACACCTAGAACTTGAATACCACTGTTGAGTAATGTTGCTGAGTCATCCTGGCTTCGACACAAGGATTGACGCTAAGGCACCAAAATCGACATAGCGTTTTCCCTAAGTCTCGTTGGAAATCTGTTATACTTGGTTGGATGTTCACTCTCTTCATTAATGCGTGGAGAGGCCTTGCAGCTGGCAAGCTTGGCTTGAGAAATCGCCCGTTTGAAGGGTCAACTGGCTTGAGAAATCGCCCGTTTGAAGGGTCAACTGGCCTTCCTCTGGAACGCTGAAAGGGTCGGAGAAACCAGAATAGGAAAGATCAGGGCGAAGTTGCAAGTGTGGTAGCTAGGCCGGTCTGTGGTCCCAGCCATTTTCAGTTGATTTGTACTTTTGGGGCAGGTCTTCCTCGTGTCTTTAGAGTCCCTGTGCCTTGGCATTTGGATCGGACACGCGCTCTGACCTCAACATTCAATTCTGACCGTAGCTTGGCAGCCCGACAGGGCAGCCATAATGATGGTCATGGAACGGGGACTAATTGCGTGCGGTGGCTATAAGGTTTTAGGGTTCAGGGTGTCCTAAACGTCTTCACGGAAAAGCCAGTGCGACTAATTCCATGCCCCAGTTTCGGCACAACCCGCGGGCGTCTGACGGGACTACCCACGGCGGCTGCTGGCAGCGTGGGACGTCCCCTCACAGCGTCCTGACGACCCCGCTTCGTCCCCAAGCGCCAAACCGGTCTTCCGCACCCCGTGCGCCCCCCCCGTCCCGCGCAGGCCGCCGCCCTGGCCGCCCATGGCCGACTGCGGCGACTTGGGCTCTGAACTGGACGCCCTGCGCAGCACCTACTCAGGAGACTTCGAGATGCTGTCCGAGAACCCCGTGCGGTTCCGCGTGCACATCGCGCCCAGCACAGGTCAGATTCCGCCGCCAAAGCTAGGTTGGCTCGAGCCCGACTCACAGGTCCAGCTTGATTGTGTTAATGGGGCACATGTGCCCGCAGTGGCACGGCGTTGGACGCTGCAAAATGGGGGTCCCTGGACCCCGCGCCTTTCCGCGCGAGCCCAGCGTAGGTCATAAAACGCCGCAAAACCCAGATTCAGCGCGAACTTGATTCACACAAGGCGAGCTGGAGTGTGTGCATTGGCAGGTGGCACGCAGTGCCACGGTGCTGGACCCTGCAAATATGAGGGCCCCTGCGATCTGAATGTGGCACACGACAGGTCAGAACCTCCACGAGCGCTACGTGGAGGCGGATTTGGAAGTGGGAGTGCCGGAGGGGTACCCCGACGAGCCGCCAATGGTGAGGCTGCGGTGCGCGAAGGGCCTGGGGGACGAGCGGGCGGGAGCACTGCTCGGCAGGCTGGCGGAGGAGGGGGACGGCATGCGGGGGGAGATGATGCTGGGGCGCCTGTGCGACGCCGCTATGGACGGCCTGACCGCGATGAACGCGCCAGAAGGTGGGGAGCGGCAGGGGAATGGGGAGCGGTAGGGGAATGGGGATCGGCAGGGGAATGGGCAAGAGTATGAGAGTATAAGAACTTAGAACCCAAGAATGGATGGAGAGAGAGAAATGGGTCGTAGGGAAACAGAGAAAAATAGAGCAGCGGGTCATAGAAATGGGTCAATGCGGCCGCTCCTGAGCACGCGTGGTCGAGGCTCTGCGGCACACTGTGAAAAGATGAAGTGGCGTCTGCACTGCTGGAGGAGGTGCAGCGGGCTTTTGCCTGAGATGAATTTCGCGGGTGTTTTCTCCAAGGAGAAATTGAATTGGAGGGCGTGTGCGCAGGGATAGGGAGGGGTGGAGACCCTCCTTGCCCGGCGACGTCGTTTCCGATTTTGGCGCCAAAGTCTGGGGCGCTTGCCGCCGTCTGACAGCTCCTGCGCACGGTTTGCCGCAGGGGACTGCGTCTTCTGCATGGAGCCATTGGTGGGTGCCGACCTGGTCAAGATGCCCTGCTTCCACGTGTTTCACAGGTGGGAACGGCACCTCGCGGTGGGCCGCCTGGCGTGGCGTGGGACACTCTTTCGGCTGGGTTGCCAAATGCCACAGTGCTGTGTAGTTTGGCATTGTGCTTTGATCGGCATTTGGTGAGGGAAATCAACTCGCCGGGCAGCGGGCACAACTCGCTGTTGGGCTTGCTCATCATATTGGACAGCATGGAAAAGTGACGCACGAGAATTCCTGAAAAAGAGGGTTGCCCGTGGCGTGGGTATGTTCTGCCAGAGAACATACTTCATCCACCACTCAGCTGGCACGTTTGCCACAAGAAAGCAGAGCGTGCCCCTCCCCATTGTTTCATAGTTGCTTGCAGTTGCTCATGTTGCACTGGAGCCAGGAGTGGTCATTGGTAAAATTATCTGGGGGTTGGAATGCTTTTGATATAGAATGGTCCCCCACAGGTGGGACATGGTCTCCAACAGACGCCAGATAAGGATGTTCGCACAGGTGGCTTGGCGCAGGCCACCAAAGAGGGTGGCCTTCCACTTTTACGAATGTGTGTTGGCCTGATGAGGTTCTGCCGGGCGATTGCTTATGTGTTTGCCATCAATGCAGCGTGAGCACCTGTGGGCTCACCAACTGAATATGTAGCGACAAGGAGATCAAGCACTCACTCATAGCAGTCATGCCTTGCCATGAAGGCGACAATGCAAAGTGCCCCACATCACACTCTCACTTGCTGGTTGGATGGTGGAAACTTTGCTTGTTCCAGTGCAAATTTGGCATCGATCACTTGGGGCCAATGCCCATTCATAATCTATTCTACCTGGACATGTTGGGCAATGCACATAATGCTGATGGTAGTTCAAGGTAGATACACTAAGAATGACCAACCCATTGAAGAATTTGATTGAATGTTCATTGCATGGTATCGGGCAGGATGTAGTGGCATACAAGCCTCAAATGCTTGGCAGAGTTTTTCAGCAGTGCAAGGCCCAACAAGCACTCAGGTCGAATAACAGGGTTGACACATGGTGGCTTTAAAGATGGACCCCAAGGGGACGGCAACACAGGGAATGTTTTTGTCAGGTTGTGGCTTGGCAACCACTGTTATCCTATTTTGTAGGTCCTGCTTTCCAGCTTGGTGGAATTCACAGCAGCAGAGTTTGAGCCAGGAAGAGCGTGAGCTTCGGGAGCACACTGGAGAGGCGGCTGCATCAAGGCTCCTGGTGGGTGGAGTTCACTACCCAAGGCGTACTAATGGTGCAACTCTCCAGGAATGTGGTTGGATTGTTGAAACAACAAAAATGGAACAAACACCAAGGTTCCACCACTGTTGTGCCACAAGCAGTGTTCCCATCGATGGGCTTGTTGTAGTGGCAGCATTGCCTTGTGCTGCAAAATGGTTCCTGGTTTTAGTTCCTTTTCTTTGCCATTGTCTGATAAGGCACAGTGTAGTCACTGGCACACAAGGCAACAGCAGAGTATGCTTGCCTTGATGCTGTTGCGTGTGCAGTCTTTGCCAAAATTTCCGCTCAGTACACAATGTGCTGCAGAAGGATCTCCCCTCCAAGGAAGGGGGCTTTTTCATCGTGAGCTGTCCTGTGTGTCGAGTCCCCATTACTCCTGGAGACCTTCTGCCCTACTGGAGTCCTGTGGACACCCTTCTGGACACATCCTTCACAAAACAATGGAGTCAAGGGGGACAGGCTGGCCTGAAGGACAGCACCTTGACCGATTGCAACATGGCACTGATCAGGAAGCAGCAGGCTGAGCGAGCGGCACTGTACGAAGCCCAGAAGGCCAAAGGAGCGATTGTCGGCAACACAGTGGTGGCCCTTTCGCTTGGTGCTGTGAGTGAAACAGATACAGCAGTTTCAGAGGCACAGAAGCAAGACAACACAGAAGAACCGACCGATGAAGAGCAGTCCATGGTTGAGGTTGACGCTGTTCAAATTGCACGAATGGGGGCCCATCGACGGGCTCAGTCGCACGGTGACTTGGTGTCAAAATTTCCCTCTGTCCGTCTGTCTGAAAGTGCAGATGACAAGCCGACATCGACAGCAGAGGCCAAATCACAGCACCTGCACGCCTTATTCAAGCAGGCTTTCCAGCAGCCTGGGCAGGAGCACCATCAAGAGCAGCAGCAATGGACGGCTGGTAGGCCCCATGGGCGAGGGACTGGCAGGCTGGATGGCATGAGGGGGACGGGGAGCGGCCGCAGAAGACCGGACGGGCACCAGGTTGGCAGTTTTGATGGTTATCGGGAAGGCAGCCACAGGAGGGGGAGGGGTGGCAGGCACGTGGGGATGGAGGGACAGCAGCTGAGACGGCTGTCGCGGGGTGGGAGGGGCGATCGCAAGGAGATTGTCTCTGCTTTAGAAGGATCTGATGTTCTTGGGGAGACTTGCGGAGACCCGCACAGCTCACTTGGAGCCCAGGGGGAGGATCAAGAGGGGGGTCAGAGACGGTGGCCCGATGGGTCCCAGCGAGCAAGGGGCCCCAGAAGTAGAGGCAGAGGCAGAGGCAGAGGCCGTGGAATTGAGGAGCAAGCATGTCATGATGGGCCAGGAGACCAGCACGAGCAGTCAAACTCTGAGCAGCGCGCCAGCCACATGGGCCCAGCTGACAGGGTCAGGGGGTATTCGAGGGGGAGGAGCCTTGGACGCAGTTGGGAGAATCACCGCGGAAGAGGCAGAGGCTATGGAAGACGGGGCAGGGGGGATGTGGGCTGCAGCCAGCACGGCATGGGAGATCAAATGGGATTTGGGAGGTGTGGGGCGAGACGGGGGCGAGGTAGCGATTGCCATGGAAGACGGGGAGTGTCCCCCAAGGCCGAAAATTGAAATGGACGGAGTGAAGCTTCAGGTGTGCACCTGGGGCCTCAGCTGGCCCAAGGGTGGTGGTATATAGTCTTGTGGACTGGTGTGTGCATGCGCATTACTAGGGGACATGCATGGGAACGACTTCATCTGGACTGCCCAGGCTGCGGCGAATTTTTCCTTTTGCAGCTGCAAACACTTGTCAACGTCAGCTGCCATTCATTCCATCCCAGAGTAGACTGTTTGTGAGGCTGTGTGCTGGGGGCACTCGAATTGATATGAATTGAATTTTGCGACTGGTTTTTAGTCATTGATTTCAATTGAATGTGGCGACTGTTAACCCTGCATCACCTGCATGGCCACAAGGCATTGGACATCGTTGGAGAGCACGAGCAGTGGAGAGATTGGCATCATTGCAAGTGTGCATGCTGAGAGGCTGGAGCAGCTGGAACTCTGGAAGGCAAGCTGTACGTTGTCCATGTCCTATGCCGACTGTCATGTGCTTGTGAGTATTGTGGGTTACGGAACTGCAATTCCTTGTCGTTGATGCCAATCAATTGCTGCATGGCCAAGCGGTGGGTGCAATCCTGATAAGCACCTGCCACCATTGCAGCTATCCTTCAAGTACGCAGTGTCAACAGAAGCAAGTTTACACAACGAGGAAGGCTGTGCCTCCACTGTGCTCATTCGGAGTGACAATGTGGGATCTGCAAGTGTGGACGTGCATGTTAGGGCAGAGGATAGGTTTGCGCCTCTCGGGAGGGTTTGTTGTTCATTGCTGAGATGGCGCTCAGCTACCTTCTCTTGTACTCGACTGCCTGTGTGTCAGGAGATGAACAACAACTATCTGAACCAGTGCTGATGATGGCAAGGTAACCGGAAGTATCACTGAAGATGCTGGGTTGGCGCTTTTTAAAGCACCAACTCAGTAGCTTCAATGACACTTCCAGTGACAAGTTCGTCACTTGCACGCATTTTTGCTGGTCCTTATGAGGCATTCCCATGTCCTCCAAATACATTGATGAGCTAATCAGCTTGTAGTTGTTATCCCAGCTACGGGCTATGTCAAATGAGTTTATTAATCTATTGTTATTTGCTAATTTATTAGCCAAATACTATTGATACTTTGTTCAATTTGTCTTCAACAATGCTCAATATGCGGGCGCCTATTGACAGTAAATACCGACACAGTATATCGATGGTACAGTGTGGCACGCCGCTTTTAGCAGTTTTGCATTGTCAAAACAGTTAAAATCTGCGTGAACGGGCGAATCTTGCCAGCCCCCACAATCCTTGCTTTCCATTCCAACAAGAGTGGCATTTCGGAGTCCAGAAGCAACCTCCTCTCACCTCCCCCTTTCGCCAGTCCCCTTTTGCCCCACCCCAACACAGCAGGTTTGGGTTGGGGGGTGCCGTGGGCGCTCCCCCACCCACCCTGCTGTGCGCCGCAGCCCCTCTGTTGGGTGGAAGGGTACTCAAGGGATTGAACTACCTTCTTCCTTGCCCCCTGACCAGGCGGTTTGGTAGAGCGGTGGGGCATCCCATTTGGCATACAATTGCTGGCTGCACCAAATCGGTGTCTTTCTGCACTAAATCGGTGATTTGCACCAGCTCCCTCCAAAACCTACCTAACCTAAAACCTAAACCCTCAACCCTAAAACTTAACCTGCCCTAAATCTAACCCTAACCCTAAAACTCGACCTAAAACTAAACCTAAGACTGAAAACTGAGGTTTGGACATAGTGTGCACGTGATTTGGTGCAAGCAGTCACCGATTTGGTGCAGGCAGTAATATTATTTCCAGCCCATCTGGAGGTGCGCGGTTCGATCCCCGGTCAGACATCCTCTTTGCCATCCGCACGAAACCACCCTCGACACCTGGCAACACCCCCCCCCCCCCGCCCCACAACCCCGAGGCAACTTCCCCACCCCACCCACCGCCCCCTGCACCGAACCTTCCCCGCCAGAACGTAACTACGCCACGTGGCGCTGACGGTGAATAAGCAAATTTTTATCCCAGCCTCCGCCCACCTTCCGCGGTCCGACTTCCCTCCTCGCACATCACCACCGCCCTTCCAAAACGGCGCGCTTGGGCACTCTCCCGGCCCTCCAACCACCGTCATGGAAGTCCCTGTAGACCCAGCCCTCGCGGCCAACGTATGCGGCCAGCTGACGGTGTTGAATGCTCGCCACCGGGCGGCGGAGTGCCTTGTCGCGGACTACGTCGCGTGCCTGCAGCGATTGCGGGAAGCGCGGGATCGGAACGTGGAGCTAATGGGGGAATTGGAGCGGGCCCGGAGGGAGGCCGCGGAGAGGCGGGGCCAGCTGGAGGGGCTGGCGCGCAGGGCGTTCAGGGCGCAGCAGCTGGAGCAGGTCGAGGCGGTGCTGTCCGAGGTCGGCAGGCTCGTGGGCCCTCGCGCTAGCGCTGGCGCACCGCGTGATCTCGTTCTCTGTGCTTTTGAGGAGACTTTCGCATAGCGGTTGCGGCGCGGAGCATGTCCCTTGATATAGACGGGGGGTGGCCCTTGGTTGAAGCGCATCTCCTTGCTTGCGGCGGCAAATCTTCGATCGACTCGCGGGGCTCCCCTTAGGGATGCGCGGTCTGGACGAAAGATGTTTTACCCGGAACAGGCGTCGCACCGGGGTGTGCGCTGTGACGCGCGGTCGTGCCGCAAGTCCGCCTTCTCGCGGAACGTTTCGAATTGGAGGAATTGGGACTCGTGCAGTTGTTGATCATGCAGCAGTCGTCGCGCTAGGCATTGAAGCCCGGGTCGACTCGCCAAGCCCATTGCGACCACCTTTCCGGTTTTCCGCGCGGAAGTTTCTGAAAGCCAGCTTCCCACGAAGCAGACGTTCTCTCCTTCGCCGTGGGGCGGGTTGGGGTGGGGAATATGGAGAGGGGCGATGCTGGCCCGCCACTGCACAGAAGCCACTAGTGGCAAATCCCCGAATTCGTGAATGCCTGACTGCCCTGTTGTTTGGCACTCTGTTGACTGAGCCCTGATTGGTGGTCCGCGCGTCTGCGCCAGGTGACCACCGATAGAGACGGCCTGCGGGAGAAAGTCGTGGACTTGGAGTCCCAGGTCGGTGAAATGGCCTCGGCCAACGCGGCGGTCAAGGCGCAGAGCGACGAGTACCAGGCGAGGATCGCCGCCGACGCGAGCGAAATCATCGACCTGAGGGTGGCCGTCGCAACTCTGACCGAGAGGCTGGAGCACCAGGAGACGTCGACCTCCGTGGCGGTCGGCGAGTTGGACGCGCAGAGGGCACGCGTCGCGGAGTGCGAGATGCGGGCGGCCGCCCTGAGCCGAGAGAACGGGGAGCTGCTCCAGCGAATGCAGGAGAAGGCTGAGCATGAGATGCGGATGCATCAGGACGTGGTGGACCTGCAGAGAGAGGTGCTGAGCAGGAAGGCAAGCGTGGAGAGAATGGAGCGGCAGGCGTCGATCGAGCGGGAGTACGAGGCGTCCAGGTCAGGGAGCTTCAACCTGGGGCCCCTGGCGAACCTGCTGTCGCCCAAGGGGCGGCGCAGACCGGCCTGCGCCGACAGGGACAGGCACAGGCGGCGGATGTTCGAAGCCGTGGAGGCGCTGGAAGCGGACGCTGGCAGCGCCAAGGCCGTGTCGATCCTCAGCGACGTCATCAAGGCGCTGGGCGAAGAGGACGTGAAAGAGAGGGAGAAACCGAATGAGGACATAGACTTCGAGATTGTGCGGCCCGAGGAGTGCCTGCCGTTGGCGGAGGAGGCGGTCGTGCCCAGGACGGCTTTCAGGGGTGTGTCGCACGGGGGTCCCTGCACGTCCCTGGCGTACTCCCCCAATGGGATGCTGCTGGCCACGGGGGGCATGGACAAGGTCGTGGCGACGTGGTACGCCCCCACGCGCCTCCGCCAGAAGAGCCTCCGGGCGTTCGACTCCATAATGGACGTGGCCTTCACAAGCAACGGGGAGCACGTCCTGGGTGGAGGGGTGGACAAGTCTGTGCTGGTGTGGCAGACGCTGTCAGGTACCCCCCTGTTCGTCATGCTGGATGTGTGCCGACGAATCCCATTTCGATTCCCAGCCGATGTCTGGGGCTGGCAATGGCACGCTCGATACCCTTGCAGCTGTTCTCACCACCTCTTATGGCTTTGTATTACAGTTTCCGGTGCCCATGTCCCAGACGATGGAATTTGCATCCCTCTCTCCTCTTTCCCAGACATCTGGCTTGCAGCACATTTCTGTACACTGTGGTTGATACACAAGAAGGGGTGGCAAGCCTCATGCCAACCATTACACAAAGTCACTGGCATGGTTTTCCTTCTCCAGGTAGGCAACTGCACACGCTCAGGGGCCACACCAGAGGGGTCAACTGCATCACCTGCGCCCCCGATGACCCAGCTCGTGCCATTTCCAGTGGCGAAGATAGGTCCATCATCCTGTGGGACCTTGCACGTGGACAGCAGCTGACATCTCTGTGCCCTAACAACCAGGTGCATGCATTGTCTTGAGTTTCATTTGTACATCGGGACAAATCATACTAGCTGAAGCAGCCTGGAGTCATGATCAAGTGAGGCTACCAAGGGCAATTGTTGATGTGCCATGATTCGATCCTAGCTGCTCAGGTTTACCCAAGCATTCGGAAGAGTCCAAAAATTGAGCATCGCGCTTTCCACGCCAATTATGATGTTGGATTTGGATTGTTCTTTACCTACTGACCATTTGAGGCCCTTGTAGATAGTTAGAAAACTTGAAGCTGTCTGTCCACCTGAAGTCAATGGAGGCACAAGCCAGGCCAATCTGTTGTTTGCTCCCATTGCCGTCATGGATGCATGAATCAATCATTCTCGCTCAGTCGTTTTTGATCACTTGCAGCACCCAGTTGCTCTGCCAGCCCCTTAGCAGTAGTATCGTTTGTTGTAGTCGATCACGTACCCCAAAATTCCAAAGGAATGAGCCAAAAACCATGTACCACACCCCCCCGGACAACCAGCTAAGGATCTGGGGTTTCAGCGAAACGACCAAGTGAGTTATACATTGCCTTCATTCACCCAGGTGTGTGCGGTGTGCTACACCACCAGCAGCGACACGATCCTCTCTGGCCACATGGACGGCACCATCCGCCTGTGGGACCTGCGGGCATCCAAGATGGAGCTGGAGCAGACCCAGGTGCACAGTGGCAGGATTGTCTCTCTACAGCGCCTGGAGTCTCACGCTGCGCTGTCAGCGGGCAAGGACAATTGCCTTAAATACTGGGACACAGCGCAGGCCCAGGTGGTGACCGAGTTCTGGCACAGGGACTTCCAGCTGGCGACGGTAGGGGCGATGGGCAAGTGCAGGTGCACTGTGTGCTGCAGCCCAGATCAGAGGTACGTCGTGGCTGGGACCACGGCTGGGAGCCTGCTGGTGTGGGACACCAGGGAGGCCTGCGAGGGCAAGCGCACGCAGGTGCTGAAGACTCCCCACCACAAGGAGCCCGTTGTGGGGTGCGCGTGGGGCCGGCAGGGCGACATGGTGTCGTGTGACAAAGCTGGGGTGGTGGTTTTCTGGAGGGACACGCCTGTGTGAGGGAGGAATTGGGGTTGCGTGGTGGTGGGGTGGGATGGTGGGCGGGTTTGGGTGTGGAGAGTGGAATGAGTGGGGGTTGGGGTGTGTAGGGGTGTAAGAAGAGAGGAATTTTAGGGCAGGTGGACGGCCAGGTTGTCAAGCAAGGTTGGGTTGTCATGACGCCTCAATAAGGTCAAGGCGTCTGCAGCAACAACATGGTGTGTAGAGTTTGGGAGTGGGGTGGGAGGTGTGATTCCAGCAGCAGTGCATTTGTGTTGTGGTTTCTGAGGGCCACCTGTTTGTCCTGCAACATGTCTTTCCGTCACCCAGTGCGCTATTCCATTTTTTTTCGCATTCATATGTGTATAGTCAAGGAATGCAACAGTTCCGATGATTGGATGTATCCCTAGCCATCGGGGAAATAGCAATATAGCATGCAGTGGACACAAAGAAACTTGAAGTAGTTAGGGGATTTGTTGCCTAGTTCACCAGAGGCCTTGCTCATCTCCCAGCCTTCATCTCGCCTCGCAACTACGGGGAAAGGGAAAGAGATGCATCTGAGAAGGTTCCATCGGGCTGACTGTTTTGCCATCCACACGTTGATGGACGAAACATATGCAGCTGCGGATTGGAATGCAACATACGCTGTTTGAGTCATGTAGGGATGGTGGGCTGAATTGGTCACATTCGAGCACATCGGCAGCACATGGTAATGTATCCGCCATGATGGACGTCGCACACACTGGCAGTGGACAATTTTGCTATCCTTGCCAGTTTTTTCTCTTCTTTCTTGTCTTTGCACTTTGCAGCGTGCCACGCCAGAACTTGGTGGGCAAGCCAACACGAGCAAGTGATTTCGTGCAGATGCTGTGTGGACCTACCGGCCATCGCCTACGGGTGCAAGGGCGGCTTATTTCTTTTCATGACTAATGTAATAAAAGAATTTTGATGATGATTTGTGGGCGTGGGCGGAGTATGCATGATCGCGGATCATGCCACTGCAATGCAGGCCGGCATGCCGATGGGCGGCTAGTTTGTCGTTTGTTATATCGTGGTATGATAGCCACACAACCACACCGACGCCAACATTGTCATGGCGTCACTGACACGAACAACGACAACGTGGTGTCATGAGTGGAGGAACAATGATGCGTCAGCAGTCTGTGATGTGAATTACTGAGCCCAGATGGCTGCTTCAGGTGCAGTAGGTGTTAGGTAGATGGTTAGGGAAGACACAATGTTGAAATTGTTATGCTTAGCGTCAATTTAATGCAAAGATATTATGTAATTGCACAAAAATCGACATAAGCTTGGAAGGTACCTAAAAGCTGCTAAAAAGTGGCAATAGACGTATGACTTGTCTCAAAACTTCTCTTTGGCTTTCAGTCTTCACAAAATGCCCCATAAGATCACGATTGGCGGCTTCCAAAGCTGCCCCCCATCATCCGCTATGGCAGTTTGCATCTCAGTTTTCAGCCCACTAAAATTGCTGCAGTTTTGGCTGTTTTTCTTCAAAACATAATAGATTGGCACCACACCATTATGGTGTAATGCTGAGTCATCCTGGCTTCGACATAAGGATTGACACTAAGGACGGGGTGGGGTGGGGTGGGGGGGGCGGGGGTTTGTAAGATGGCATTACAAATTAACGAGGCGAAAACCCTCCTTTTCCACCAATATTTCAGGCGCTATAGGAGGGAGCCCCAAAACAACGCAACGCACGAAAGTAGGGGAGCACATTATTGGTCCACATATCCTGCTCAGTATTCACCCACAGTGTTCCAGCTAAGTGGACGTACAGGATACTCATCAAGAGATACAACAACAAACGAAATCAAATGGTAAGCGCCAGAAAGAGAGAAACATCAAGAAAAATGCAAATGTGCCATAGCAAGAATAGCGACCCCCAAAACAAGCAGAATGACAACCCACCAATGCCCAACAACCCAGAACTAGCATCGCAAAGCATATCCAACCTGTTGCATGGCCATTACGTGTGACTGCTGACTACGCAGTGGCTGCTTCACGGCCACGTGTTCTCTCTCTCTTCAAAGGAGAGTACCAATTTAGAGACCAAAGCTGAGAGCACTGAGAGACAAGAAACAACCAACAATGATTCCAGCCAAAAGAGCACGAACCACTTGGTACTGAATTGTGCCTGCAAGCTCCCTTCGTGTGCACTCAGCCTCCCACAGAAAGGTAAGGCGCCCCTTCAGGGCTGCGACTTCCCTGGCCAACCTTGCCAAAGGGACGTTACCCCTTGGCATTAATGACACCAATTTCTGATATGTGCTTGCAACGATTCTTTGCACCAAACAAGCAACACGAATAGAAATACTAGAAGAGAGTAAAAGCATGTTCACAAACACTACAGTCACAAAGGCATAACCCAGTGCCTTCCACAATTCTTTCCCACCACTCTTTCTCACTCTAGAACACACCAAACAACTCTCTTGTTTGGTTAGCTGACTCACACACACCACCAAAAGAAACCAAAATATCGTCCGGACACACAATCATCTCCAGGGCTTTGGATGCTTTTCTTTATTCCTGATTTCCTGGGGTCTTTCCTTGTTTTCTTGTCCCTAAGAACTCCTCGATATAGCAACCTAATGTTCGTTGACTCAAATCTCCAGCCACCCGCCCTTGCTTTGCTTTCGATATAGCTCAGCTTCTACTACACATTTTGTAGCTCCTGTTGATGGTTTCTTACCTCACTTTGTGTTCTCTCAGAGCTTGGCCATTGTGATTCTGTCTTCAGGATACGTTCCCATATTGCTCCGCTTCACCGCAATGTGCCTTGATTTGTTAAGCGCTCACCGACTCATCAACAATGTTGATGCTCAAGTTGCAACAACCATCACAACCAGCACTGCCAACCCACCATCTTGAAATGTCCAAGAATGCCTTCAAGCTCAACTTCACGGTTAATTTCATATTGTGATCCTCTTAAAAGCCCTCGCAACACCACCAATCGTTGTGCAACACCACCAAGGACTGGTCTTGGCGTCTCTTCAATACCCTTATTCGACACTCCTTGAAACTTCAAGTTGTAAACATTGTTTCTTGCAGCTACATCTTCAACACCACAAGATGACATTTGCTAAAGGTTCTGATGACCCTTGTACACATTCTCCCAAGCTTTGCAAGACGTTCACCATGGTACTTGACCGTCACCAATGTAGGGTCCTGGATGCAACTTTTGGATGGTCATTTTTTAAGGCCCACACCACAAATTATTTGGCCGCTTATTATAAGTGGCTAGTGGGCAGCGCAAAGCTTCACAAGCCTTTATTGGCCTGTTCATTAATTTCTTTCATCACAAAAAGGCTTAAGAAATGATACCAACATACGTTGACTGCCTCAAGGATCAACACCCTCGTTCGTTGTGATGGGAGCTCGAGAATCGGTTTAGAATTTGGCTTTTCAGCCTTGCACATGGAACCTCAGCCCGGGTCCCAACCCAACCAGCAAGCGCATCAACACACAAGCTTACAGCGGCCTTGTTTGGTTAGGAAAGGTGTCTTGCAAACACTTGGATACAATGCAGTTTGCAACAGTCCCTGGGCTGGGACGGTTGCAATAATGCACAACCCCTATTTACACCCTTTTTCACTGCCATGGACCCTAGAGGGCTCTTGGCACTGCTCCAATACCATGGCCTTTCTCTTGGGCCCAAAACAAAAGAAAGGACTATTGTGCTGCCATGGTCCGGCCCCTCACAAATGCAAAACCCATTTCCCATTTTCACACAATTGTCAATCACTCAAACAATATAAATAACACTATCATTTAGTAGTACTTTCGAAATTTGGCCCTTACACACTGATTCCCAAAATTCTCACATGTCCCTGCTCTTTCTCAACATTACATCATATCAATAATTTGCTATTCAACAAACTATAACCCATTTCCCTTATAATTCATATGGCTACTATTAAAATGGTCAACTCTTTACTAATGCACTTTACAGATATCAAAAGCTTCCCAATCCTGCTCCATGGCTTGCGGCACAGCTTGCCATCTATTCTCCACCACTTCCTTCTGCTTCACATTAGCTTCCTTGATGTCAATATAGTCATCCTCTGAATCATGCATTCCGTCATTAACTGGCCCCAAGAAACCTTCATTTTGATGTATTGCCAACTCTTGCATATCCGACATTTCAACTCTGCCCCCGCTGATACGTGAGGACTGTTGGTGTGGGGTTCCTACCCTCTTTGAACCGTGGACCTGCCTCGCCAGGCACTTAGGTCCTTGCGGGGACCTAGGCAGAACCACCCCGACCTACTCCCGTATCGTATACTATCGTATAAGTTGGTTGGGGTGTTGTTACCATATCTTGGGCAGGGCGTCCACCACATCAAGGGGCCATTAGTAGGGTGTCCCCCACATCAAGCCAGTGTACGTAATATTCGTCCCCCTCAGGGAGGTGGGACGTCCCCATCCCAGTGTGGTGATATGGGAGTAGACACATGCTTGGCTTTCAAGCCCGTTGTGGTTGGTGGACACTAACTGTGCATCTCGCCACATGCCCAATGATCCACACATTTTGTATTATATGCGCATTGGAGAGAAAGATTGGTTGTTACATGGACAATGTTCCTACTGACAACCCTCATTAAAACTCTTCCTTCAGCTTATGGGCTGGAGAAACATAACTCTAAAAGAATGTACAATTCCCCTCAACGACCTCTTGGCCTATCTATGACTCTCAGCCTGCCCACATCCAGAAAATATCTATGACATATAGGAATCACCCTGCACGTCCCCCACGGCGACCAACTCCAGCCATCTACGTATGACCTCCTCCTCACGGAGTGTAATTGGGGTGCCATCCTCGACCGCACCCACGACCCGATGGAATCACCACTGGGCTGTCGCTCTGGACTCTCTCACCACTCATGATGGCAATGGACATTGCATTCATATATCCAAACTGCGAGTGGGACCAAGGTCCTTGGTACCCAGTATTTTTCTAGGCCCAACACAACATTGCCTATTGTATATAAAGCACAGATATGTTCATGTCAGCGTGCACATCTTGTATTGCATGTATTGCGACCAGTTTGCATATTTGCAACAGGGTTTCTGCTATTTTCAAATGTTTGGACCAATTCCTATGCATTTGCAACTGCTTTTGTTGATTCCCAGCTATTATGTTCATGTCCATAACCAGCCATTTGACAATGTACTCTACTGAGTCCTGTTTGCGGCCACATTTTTTAATTCTTTTATTAAGAATGCGTTCAACTTCATACTTCAGTTCCCTTTCGATTTCGATAGGGACTGAGGTGGCTGTACTCTGCCACTAGCCTTATACAGCTTGAGCTTCGATACAAGGAAAACCAGATGTGTCTTGCTCATGTTGTCCAGGAGTTCTAGTCAATATACAATAGAACCTATCCGGTCGAGGATGGTGAAGGGCCTAATCCACCTCGGTAATAGTTTTCGAGTTCCAGGGTGCTTGAGGGTAATATGTTGAGTTGAAAGGAGGATGTCATCTCCTTTATTGTATAACACATCCCTCCGATGGTGGTCAGCATGCTTTGGCTGCCTCTCTCGTGCTTTCTCTAAGCACTCCCTAGCCTCTTTTAGTGCTGATTGGACATGGTGATCAAATCATGTCACTGTTGGCAATCCCTCCATGAGGGGCTTACCATTTCGCCTCAAATAAGGCTGCTGCACCCTATCAATGGCCACTGCCAAGCCGCGGGCATTCGGATTGTCATAGCCTTTCAAAGGCTTCCAAATTTGCACCCCAAGAGCTAAGGGACTCCTTGGGTGTTGACCATAGTTCAAATAGAACGGGATCTCTTGGGTTGAATTGTTTTTCGAGTTGTTCGTTGCAAACTTGGCCATGCTATTAGTTCATCCCACACATCTTGATCAAAACGCATATAGCTGCATAAGTAGTCATCCAGAATCCG